GCAAGTGTGGCAATTTGATAGACTTACTTTTTCAAATATCTCAAAAAATTACGTTAGAAATAAAAATGCTGTCGAAATAAGCTATTTTATATGTTGTAATGGACAGGAGCTCATAAAATCGCTGTCATATTCGTTAAAGATTGGAACTTAGTCCTGCGCTGAGCAAATATTTTGGCGTAAGTCATCAGACAAAATTCAGGGTAACGTCAACGTCAGATTAACAAAGATTGAACAACACAAACTGTTTTGATGGTCTGATTATCAATCGATGTTGCAGGATAAATAAAATGCATTGTCAGTTAAAATATTAGCTATATTTAGACGAAGGTAAAGAAAGTCAAAAAGAGGCTCACCACTTTTGTCTTTCTGCATGTTCTTTTTGTTTGCGTAAATTAAAACAGTCTATCACTGCAGTATGTTAATACACATGCATACAATTATTTATTGAATAAGAGGTCGGACATTCACACTTTCATTTTATATTATAAATCGTTATTCTTTCGTGCATCTTTTGTACAAATGCACTTGCACCACCTAACATGTAAAATATGTTTGTAAATATTGAGAACAATGTATAAATTGCAATGCGTTATTTACGGGTCGTTAAAGTTACTACTGTATTTTGAACAATATGCATTATGACAATGGGTTTCACAGTCAGTTACAATTTTGACACAAAGCGCCTATCTATACCATTTCTGCCTTATATGTTTATTCTTTTTATTGATTAATGTTTCATTTTCGAACGGAGCCCGCCTAATTTACGTGTTTGCTTTTACATAAAATTATTGCGGTGCAATTAAACCAATTGCTTAGGTTCCGTGGCAGAACTCTCTGCCATTTAATGACTACGTTTATCCCTGAGAGAAACAAGCTGTTTCTGTTGTTGAATCATCGGACATAACCTGTATGTATATCATGTTCAATTTAGTTTACACAACATCTTATTAAAAATTCAACATTGAAATGATATTAAAATAATAGAAAAATTATCAAGAGGATTCGGTAAAATGTTTAAAACTTATGTAAAACCGTCCCCTAATTAGTTGTTGGCATAGATACAAGGACTGACTGATAAGTAATTAGCCTTATATCTAAGAGTTTGACTTTATGTAACTCGTCTCTCAACTATAACAGTACCATGGGGCTTTATTGACCATTTCTGGGGTTGTAACAGTGACAGGCCTTCCAGGACGGGCGTCATCCCCAAGGCTCTGCCTTCCACGCTTAAACTCAGTCAACCACCTTGTTACACATGAAAGAGCATCATTCCCTAGTGTCGCTACCATATCAGTATATTTATCCTTAGATGCTAGGCATTTCTTAAGCAAATCACTACTCTTTCAGAGATTTTGTCAATTTTACAAAATCTATGAAAAAGTACATTCTCGCTTAACTTCTTCAATACAAAACTCACAACTCATTAATCAGTCCTCGTATATAAGTAGAGTGATCTTGTTTGATTGAATAAGGAATGCTGGATTCAACGATGATATTACTGTCCGAGCACTGATCCTCTGTTGATAAAGATACAATTGTAAACTCAAGAAATATTATTATGTGGTAATTTCATAGAACATGTAAACCTAGTACAGGTAGGAACTTTGTATCTACTGAAGTACAATTTGTCGAAACTGGAGCTTCTCTATCCGACCTGGATTTAGATAACCATCAGACTGACCTGTGGTCATTGTCAGTGTATCTCTCTCATGTAAACATTATTAACTATTCATAAGTGATATTTCTTGACACAATACTATAGAGATTGCCAACTATGACTTTATTGCAAGAGAAGATTCCATTTTCGAAGGTCAATTTCCGTAAAGTATCTGATTTGCCAAAATATTTTAAGCCCCTCCTCGATTTTGCCTCTATGATTAAGTATGAATTTTAAGCTGTATTTTACTTGAATAGCATGTAGTCATGTAGAGCGAGTCGTTTTTGTTTGTCAAGATCGCCTCATAATGTAAGGGAGATAACTCAAGGTACCGTGCGTGTATAGCGAAATACTCGGCATCTATCATAGGGAAGAAAATTCCATGGAACTTGTCAAATAACTAGTTACGAACTTTATTGTTGATTTGATGAAGAGAAGTACGGTCAGTATATTATCAACATTAGTTTGGAACGGAGTTCGATATCTACACACATATATATTGACATTGGGAAATGGCTGAAAATCAATGTCTCGTAGTGTATTTGATAAAACTATTCTTGTATTTGATTTTTTGTTAAATTCATTTGCAATGTAAATTTTAAGAAACGCCGTAGTTGGCATTAGCTTCGTTTGCAGCGATTTGAAACTACTGTTCTGATTGGTCAATATGACACGTTACATCACTAGTATAAAATGTCTAATATTGATCGGGGTTACATGTCTTGGTATTGACGAAGAAATATGTGGACCGGTGTTTTTTTAATCGATGTCAAACCCCACAGGTCAGGCGGACTCACTAATAAACTTGATGGCCATCTGTTCACGTGATCAGGTCAGACTTGTCAATCAATAAAACTCATACATGCTATAAAAATACTGCAAGTGAATCAATACCAAATCGACAATAAAATTCATGCTTATTCATAGAGGCAAATTGGAGGAGTGGGGGGGGGGACTTAAAATATTGCAGCAAATTAGATACTTTTCAGAAATTTACCTTCGAAAATGGAATCTTCTCCAGCGATAAAAATCATAATAGGCAATCTCTATAGTATTGTGTCATGAAATATCACCTATGAATTGTTAATGATGTTTGCATGAGAGAGATACACTGACAATGACCACAGGTCAGTCTGATGGTTATCTAAATCCAGGTCGGATAGAGAAGCTCCAGTTTCGACAATAGAAGTCCAGCTCGAATTGATGAAAGACTTTATCAGGAAAATGTTGATCAGAATTCTTCACGTGCCCTACACCTATATACGTAAGTATTTATAATTAGATAGTAGAATCCTCTTACAAGGAGTTTTCTACAAAGGTAAAACATAAAGCACATGCGTTTAAAGGCATACTCCTGCACAGGTACATCCATTATGTAAGTAAGTATTATGGTTCTCGAGTAGCCATTTACAAGTGTCGAGACAATTCTTATAAATGCAATCGTTCATATACACTTGTATGAAAACTCGTACACCATTTTTTTTTTTTTTTTTTTAATGTTTTTTGTTTTTTTGTTTTTTTTTATTTTTGTATTTTAATTTTTTTTTTGTGTCAGAGTTTTTTCTACATATAAAAAGGACCACACCAATATTAATTTAACCATAAAGCTTTCGGATTTAAAAAAAAATATTATCACTGTCATCATTTTTTACCGCAGTAAGAATAGCACAAATAAAAAAGAACAACTATCCAACTAGATTTTGTCATTTCTTTCGGTCACAGGCTTCAAACTTTAAACCTTTGGAAATTCTAGAAGGATAAAACAGCTGTATGATGCAGTTAATTCTGCTCTACTGTATCTAACTCTAATTTTGTATGAACAGGTGCTTTTCATTTTTGCGTCTATCGTAAGATTATTGGGAGAAAACTTGCTCTTCTTGTCCTTTACAACAAGACCTTTTTGGATCACATTTGATTTCTAACAGTTTTCTCTCATTCCTCCTTATACAGTAAATGTACTAACTATGAATATGATCAGATGACCTTATTGTAGTCTGTAATGTTGTTAAATTAAGGTGTTATTGGGACAGTGAAACATTTTGTTGTGGTATTTGTGAAATCCCTGTAAAGAAAAAACTTATCTTGTTCATTCATTCCTTGTAATTGTTGGTCCCATATCGGACGCAAAAAATCATCGCGGTCACGTGCCCGACCACGTGGCATCTCCGATATTGTGATTTTCTCGAACAACAAGACCACATGTATTCTTGAAAAAAATATGACCGAGTTCATAACATTGCCATAGACAACCTTGAAGTGGCACTACTGTGTCATATGCATGTAATGGCTGCGTGAACAAGGAATTCGTCAAGACCCTGAAGAAATCCGATGTATTATGCAGTGACATTAATGTTTTGACTGCAATACTTCCCAATGGAGACTTAATCCTACCTATTGACTGAGGTATTGCAATCAATCATCAATGCTAAATAATACAACACCTGAATGTATATTACCTAAGAACGTAAGAACTACCACTCCCCCACCCCTTCATTCCTCCTGGCGTGTTCTTTGTCTACCTCTCCTAATACCTATAGTTCAGCTTTGTAGAGAGTAACCAGCGATATAAACATTACGTAACACGATAAGTTACGAAAAACTATTATTAAATGCCCAAAAATATCAAGCAACATGTCATCAATTGGAATCTGAAATTCAAGATAATTATGAATCCCTTAGAAAAACTACACACGCGAGTGAGTGAAATGAGAGCACGATACGTTGGATTAACTTTCAAAGGACTAAATCGGTTAATTATTCTTAAAAGAATTAGCAGCTTGAAATGTAGAAGAAAAACGAGACCCAGCTTTACATTCCCTCGATCCTAATATTAAATCGACACTTCACGATTTACTTGAAAGGTCTGTTATAATGCCTGAAGATAACGCATTCATTACCGTGACACTTAACAACAGCTCATAACATATCCCGCTACTAGAAGATACAGGCTTGATCGATATTCAATCTTTCAAAAGAAGAAATACTAGCTAAACATGCTTCATGTTACAATCATTTAGATATCCTTTATAGACAATGATAAGAACACGGACCTCCTTCCTTTGTATTTGATTCCTAAATTTCGCCAATAATCCATGTTACCAGCGTGTTGACTGTCCTGTTTTTCGCCCAATCCTGTAACAAATCGTCCTACTACCATTCTCAGCACTATCAAATCAGTTTTAATGTAATATTGTTTACTCTAATTGAAATCAAAAGTGTGTGTAACTTTTAAGAAATCCAAAGAGCTTTTGACTAACCTTGAACACCCTGTTCTCTAAAAACATATGATCCTATCCGAAGATGTTGGTTACTCCACTCTACCATAACTATCTTTAACTAGAAGATGTATTCGTCATCTTTCTTTTCAAAGAGAGGTGAGCGGCGGTACAGATATATGGTTGTGAAAAATGTCAAAGTAAAAAAAAAAAAAAAACCACCACATACAGAGGACGGAATGGTGAAAATTCCATGTCGAAAATATCTGTGTATAGTGATATGATCTGGTTTTCGTGTAGGTTTCATTTCCGGTCATCTCGTAGTTATTCCTAATGAATATTCATATGTCGACGTACTGTCGAAATTACTATGACTGCAAGTATAAAGAAACTTCTTAAGCTTTATCTATATATGGAATCAAGTGTATGTCATAGAATATTACGAAGATTTGGCCCCACATTTAAAAAAAAAATATTTTTGTACCCATGGGAAAAAACTTTCAACTTAAACCTGTTGGTTCATTTGTTTATAGTCATTCATGTTCTTATCTTTTTTTCTTTTTTTAAAATTAAGTTTTTGTTTTTATTTATTTATTTATTTTTGCGAAATTTCTTTCCATGAAACACTATGCCTCCGGTTGCAACAAAATTCTGAAGTGTGACATTAAAACATTACTGTTCTAATTCCATGCACACTTTGCGAGATATATTGTCTTCATTTTAGTAATAATCTTTTCTAATTTACCTTTCAAATGTAGGTCAAAGGTCACGGTTAAGGTCACATGGTCAAAAGGTTTGGTATCAACAAAAAGGTCTTGTCTTAAGGAACACGTGTCAAATGTGAATTTCTAACATGGCCGGGTGTCGTTCTTAAATTCGTCTAAACGTTTATTAGTGACTATCCTAGCTGGTTTTCTTGTCTAATGTTTCAGATTCGGCTTGTGAACACTTGTCACGTTCGTCAACATTTTCCTCAAAACCTATTCTTGTTTACCGCATCAACAGGTAAGCTTGGGGTTCACAGCTTCTAAACTTGTCCATTGTTTTTGTTTTTTTTTATTTTATTTCGTGGAACATTTGATTAGATCAATACTCTATACTTATGGTTTCGCAAGTCAGTGACGTTTGATAGAAGATTTTACATCCGTGTTTTCAGAGACGAACAAGTTTATATTACATGTGAACGGCATTGATATTACAAAACGTCTCATAAAATGCAAATCTTAATTGTAAATTTAGACATTAATTTGAAATCTAGAACATTCTGACAGCGATTACTGAACGCTTTGCTCTTCGTGTATATCAAGCGTTTAATATATGCGTTTGATAATTTTATACAAAGATATTGAAAAGTGTGTCCTGGTTTGCCAGTTGGTTCCATTGTTGTTTATTATGTTTTTTTATTGGGAAATGTGACATTATGTACTTGAATTGATTAACAATTGATCAAGTTAACATGACAGATGTCGTTGTTGAAGCAGTAGCCGCACAACTTTCCGGAACACCTGGTCTTATTTTCCTTGCACTTTTTCAAAAGTCTCCGTATTAATCTTTTGTTATTTATATTGTGTGCTCTTACATAAGTCTAATTGATTTTGTAATCTGATGATATGTATGTTCTTTGTTATTTTTCATGATATTTATCTAGTCATTCAACGTAGATATTAAAATGACTTATCAGCAGAGATAAAAAAAAAACCCAAAAAAACAAAAAAAAAAACAAAACTAGGTTAATCAGGGACGCCTTTTGTTATGTTCGGTATCGGATTTCCGGTCACGTGACCTTATTTTTTATTTACAGAAACTCTGGACTGTTGCTGCTATTGCTATGGTGTTTCCTTATATCGGTCTTTGTGCTGTATGATCCAGTATGTCCCCGTCAAAATATTTTCCGTCGAATTCATTATATGAATAGACCTCACTTCATCAGCCCGGATGTGTTCAAAAACTGTGCGTACGCATGCGTCATGACCGAAGGATGGGATTATTCGTCAGCGGATATTGTAATCTGGCAGGGAATCGACAACCCTTTATACCCTCCAAGAAAATACATCAACCAGACATGGGTTTTCCATTCTATGGAACCGCCTCCACTTCACGTGAACACGTTGAAATTATGGGATGGATTAATTAACTGGACAATTTCCTATAGACGCGATTCCGATTTTTATAGTCCTTACGGAATTTTCCGAAGAGTTCCGAATAAGTCGATGCTATCTACGTATACCGATCTGTTGAACTGGCAAACTAGGTCAGATGTTCTATGGTTTGTTTCGAACTGTTATGTGCCAAGCGTTCGTTCAGAATATGCTGCAGAGCTTGGAAAATACATGCATGTGGATGTATATGGGAAATGTGGCACAAAAAATTGTAGTGGAAACTGGAATTCATGTTCAAAAAATTTACAAAATCGTTACAAATATTATCTTTCATTCGAAAATTCGTTATGTCGAGATTATATCACAGAGAAAAGTATAAAAATATACGAAACACTATTTAATGCTATTCCGATACCTCGAACTGGAGCAAATGTGTCATTGTTTCTTCCTCCGGACTCTTATCTTTCAACTGTCGATCGTTCAACAGTGGAATCTTTAGCTGTATATCTGACTAAGCTAAAGTCACCACACCCCTTTTTCCGTTGGAGGAAGTCCTACATTGCAGAAGACACTATAGCGTCGGAGTCTATTTTCTGTGAGCTGTGTCGGCGTAGTCATACCGTGAACAAATACAGACGTGTGTACCGAAGTCTGGACACGTGGCTCAGGGGAAACGAAGGCGGTGTCCCAAGTATGTGTCACAAAGTTAAAGATTTGTAAAGAGGGAACGAAGAAGGTGTACCAAGCTTGTGTCACATTATCAAAATTTTGAAATAAAACATGAAGACAGTGTTCCAAGCGTGTCTCACAAAGTTACAGATTTGTAATGATAAGTGGAGGTGACGTCAATATCAGTTTGCAATTGAAAACACAATAATTGTTTCATGTTACAAATTCCCAATAGGTCACAGGCTTGGCGAACATGTTGTCACTTTAGGTATTCAAAGTACTGCACATTTCATAATATTCGCGAAGGTCGAATTTCACTATATTCGTGGCGATATGAGAAAACGCCAAATAAAATAACCATTTTTGCACGAATACCAATGGGCAAGCGCGAAACCCATTGCAAGGTTCAAACTTGAACAACCGTGGAAGTATCAACCCCGAAAAATAAAACGATTACATATATGATTTATATCTATCAGACCTCTGATCATTCACACACGTACATATAATTATACCTGAGATGTTTTACTCACATCTACCCGGATGCATGATTCTATTACAGATCTAATTGTGCGTTGCTTGTTAGGTATATACCCGCTAACAGCCAGTGTTAATTTGAGGCGGGATTTCCTAGCAGTAGCTTCTGTATGGCTACCTGGCTCTATGTGCTAAATACAGAGAGCTCGTCAAATGCCACCCAGAGCAATAGGAGAAAAATGCCTTATCCGAATCTATAACCATGTCAGCTCTGTTGTTGTGATTGATTACAAACCCCAGTATAGAGAACTTCCCCGATTATTTTATATTCGGCCTTGGACAGGCGTTTCTGTTGTGTTCAGTGATAGTTATACAATCGCCAGATTATTTTATTAGCCACATATTTTTCTCTAAGACGACACAGAAGTGAACAGCGCCATTTAAAACAAGTTGTTAATATATACACACGTTTCGTCCTTCAAGTTCTGCTTGTCAATGTTGCAAAGGGTCTAATGTCTGAAGCCTACGAGGCGACTGAGGAAAATCCAAAGCGAAAGAAATGTCAAAATGTAGATGGGGAGGTGTACAGGTTCCATACATGTTTAAATTCCGTAAATTTCGTAATTCTCATATCTCTAATAATTAAAGAAGAACGTCAAACAGGTGTGGTATTCTGTGCCACCAGTCGTATGAATTCAAATTTGGCATGCAGCGGATGACGGTAAACCTAGTAGTACGAATGTAAGACAATTCATCAATCGATATTATCAGTAAATATAATTATCAACATGGAGACTTATCGATTCGTTAATATGATTTATGATATTGACTTGTTTATACTGAATCTGGTCCAGACGTGAGGCAAGCATATGAATACATTACCACAGTCAAATTTTACCTAGCGTATTTTTTCCATATCATATTTCTCTTCATGTAAACTAGAACTTGTTGGCCAACAATATGACGGGATTTTCACCTGTACACAATTCATACAATTTATACATTACCTATCTAGACTGTACAACGTCAGAATATTTATTTGTGTTACCCTAAAATGACCCATTTCTAAAACCGGCAGTTGACATTTGACACAATATTTTCTTACTACTGTCAATATCAATCGAACGCAATATGCAAATGATTAAACATCATCGCCCTGTACCTCTTATTAACTCAAAAGAGATCGTTTAGATATATTTACAAAATTAAATTCTGTAATCTCGAAAGGGGATCAATGTCATCCAAATTTTCACATCTGCTAGCCAACGACCGGGACATCTTACATGGGGATTTCTAGGCCTGTCGATATCGTCACCCTGTACCTCTTCATTATTGGTGAGAAAACATTTCCAGATTTTAACAAAATAGTCTACATTAGTTTTAACAAACTTGGTAGCCAATAACTAAAGTTTTCTGTATATGAAAAATCAAGACTCTAGACCTTGTATAACTTAAGACATTTTTCGAGGTTTATTACGCAAAATAGTAATTTTCAACTTTAGCCCCTTGACGGAAACCGGGAGTTCAATTTTCAGGCAAGGTTTTATTAATATATTCATCAGTCATATATGTTACTGAAAAAAATTCGTCATCGTATGCCTCTTGGTTATTGATTAAATTATGTTTAGATACTTGAGCAAGACACCTGTTATCTTGAAAGTGGGTCAAGGTCATTTATATTAACAGCCTTCATAGTCTATTACCTGACTATTCTAGATCTTGTGGAACTTGAAAAGAATTTTTCAAAGTTTGTTACCCAAAATAGTACTTCTGATTTTGAACCCCTATAGAAAACCTGAAGTTGACTTAGTATAATTCTTTTACTTACAACTTTGGATAGCAAACGGTCGTTGTATGCAACTGATCAAAGATTATCGTCCTGTGACTCTTGGTTATTTAGATGAAACTATGTAGATATTTTAACAAAATCGACATTGAAAGTAGTCATTTATATTAACCAACTTATAGTCAATGACTTGAGTATCCTTCATATGAAATATCCATACACTAGACCACACAAAACTTGTTACCAAAAATAGCAATTTCCAAGTCCTACTCATATCGAAAACCGTAAGTTGACTAAATAATTTGTTCTTATTACTGATAGCAATCGGTCTCAGTATGCAACTGACCAGATATTGTCATATTATGCTTCATGGGTATGGGTTCGAAACTATTTCATTTTTTTTTATTACTATTAGCAAACTTAATGATGAAGTTCAAGAGTTTTCAAAATATAAAAAAAATATCAAAGTTCTAGACCTTGTGAAATTTTTCAGAGTTTGTTACCTAAATTAACAATTTTTAATTTGACCCCTACTGAGAACAGGAAAACAATTTTTTTACAATGTATAAGTATATACTCACCAAAATTGGAAATCAAAGACACGCATACTCTTCTACATCATCTGCTTATCTCGATTTTTTCTTTCCAACGAAACTGTTATGATTGTATATAATACTCTGCAGACGACTTGCTCCATTGGTACGAGTTGACAGTTGGTTGTATGTGAACTCGCCCCGAAGGTGTTGTGCAACAGTGCGTGCAACACATCGCCAGTTCGTGTTCCGTCATACCTACGATACAGACATACTTCAACGTTGTAGGTCTGACAACGAACTCCTTGCCGATTACGGCCTTTGTAGTTTATGACTGTATATATCCTTAGTGTATTCCACATTCCCTTATCTCACAACATTGGCGACGAGGATAAGTTACATTGAAAACGTGTCCTCCCCCCTTTTGGTATCCATTTATTTATAGTGACTCGGTGTATAGCCGGACGCTATTGTTATAACCCGCGGCTATTGCTTTTGTTAACACATCTCTACCTTTGATAAGCGACTCGGTGATAGTTTTCCGTGTTTGCACGCTTCGCTCTCTGTATTTACGCTCCATTCTCTATACTTGATACTGTTGAGATGGCAGGTAACATTGATTCGGCGATGTATGAGAATTTGACTAAAATAGTGGGCAAAGGTCATAATAGAGTAAATGCCATTATTCGAAAACGTACCAAGTGTGCCGATGAGTTAACGCTCGAAGATTTGTAGCCATTTCGGTTACATCAGGTAAATTTTGGGATTCTTTGATGGATAGGGGATTGATAACTCTTGAGCCGGTGGCCTCCGGGGTCAGCTAAAGCCAGACAGAGGTTTTGGTTCTGTCACAATTGATCACGCCCGTAAAATGGTAGAAAGAGCCGCTGCTGAAAGAGATGCCCTTGAAAATGAGTTTAAAATCAGAGCTGAAGCATTAGCGAGGCGTGAGGATGAAATGCAACTGAAGTTAGGGGCAATGAAAGGTTCATTCACAAGACAACTTCAGGAGAAGGATGAGCAACTCCGAGACGCTCTATCGAAGATTGATTCTAAGGCAAGGCTCAGCCATCTACTAGATATAGTGGATGGTCTTGTACCGGGTTCGGTCTATAACCTTAAAGGCAGAACCGGTCAAGGGGCAGTTAGTAAGGTTTAAAATAATAGTCAAAGCTCAGAGGGCGGGGATAGGATAGGTCTTGGGAAAGATGAAATTGATAAGAAATCGAGGTTCCCAACCTATGACGGCAAAAGCGGATGGAAGCCGTTTTTCATTCAGATTTCCCATCTTGGAGATAGATATGGTTAGTCTGATAGGCAGAAGCACGACAAACTTATTGAGTGCCTGCGGGACAAGGCCTTGAAATATTTCAGCTCTAGACCACCTCACGTGCGTGGCGATTTCAAGGTCCTATGCTCCAAATCCAATAAGCGCTAGGAAGCAAGAACTCCTGCATGGTGTCCGCCGTGATTTGGCTGAGTTACACCAGTGCCCGGACGAAGTGGTTGTAAAGTACGCAGAGAGCGCAGCAGTTGGCTGCTGATGGGTTCCCTGGTGCTCTGGAGGACTTTGTTCAAATCATGGCCACTGACAGCTTCTTGAAAGGTCTTTCTGATAAGTGTGTCGCCCTTGCCGTTCTTAAAAAAAGCCCCCACTACCCTCGATGATACACCAACCCTGGTCAAAAAATGCAATTACCTACCAGGAACTCATATGTGGCAACTCTAAGCATCCCAAACATGATGTTAGACGGGTCTCGTAATTGGATGATGACGATGTGAACGAGATTCCTTTAGTAGGATCGTCAACAATGAATTACGTCAGAAAGAAGGTAGTCTTGATGGTTAGGGTCAAACGGGCGGAGGAAGAGTTGTCGAAGATCCAATCACAGACAGATTCACTTTATAACTTTGTCCAGCAAAAAGGCAGGAGTCGGTTTCTTAATGTCTCCCCTACACGTGAGCGCGGTTGTTTCAAGTGTGGGGATTTAGGCCATTTTGCCAGGGAGTGCTCCAAAAGTAGCCCACGTCAGTAGTGGTCCCGTTCTCTGTCCCCTAACTCCGTGTCTTTAAACGAGCGGGGGCTGAGACGGTAGGCCAACCCCTCAGCCCTATCTGTTTCCCGTCGGTTAACAAATGTGCCGATACTTTGTCTGGAGTGAAGGACGTACGTCTATACTCCAAGGGTGGGATGAGGCATAGGAAGACGCTTGTTCTTCCAGCTCGGTTCCACCGGAAAACTTGCCAGGCTGTCG